ACGGCGACAACGACGACAACGACGACAACGACGACGGAGGAGGGAGGACGGCGACGACGCGAACGACGACGAAGGAGGAGGGACGGCGACGCCGACGACAACGACGACGAGGGAGGAGGGAAGACGACGACGACAACGACGACGACGGAGACGAAATAGGAGGGACGACGACGAGACGCCGACGACGGACGACGACGACGACGAGGGAGGAGGAGGAAGGACGACCACGGCGACGAACGACGACGGAAACGACCACGACGCCAAAGAGGACGACGACGACGAACACGAGGAAAGACAGAGGACGACGTAGGCGACGACGACGACGACGCGGGAGGAGGGAGGACGACGACGACGACGACGACGACGACGCAAGAGCGCGCGCGCACGCTTTTGTTGAAAATCCGTGTTGCGAAACCTTGGTTTTTGTAGGTTTTTTGGACGCACGATTTTGAAATCCTTCCGAAACCAATGGGTTTTGAAGGTTTTCGGCATACGCCCGCGACGACGCGCGCGTCTGCACTTCGTCTCTTTTTTTGCAGAGGATTCTCGCGACGGCACACGCGCAAGGGCGTTCGACAGATTTCGACATGCGCGCGCGCGCAGCCCGTTTGATAGCATTTTGTGAAAATCTTGAAAATCGCATGGTTTTCTTAAGATTTCGCAAGAGCTCGCGCGGAAGCTTTTTTAGCATATCAGTGTTGCGGAACCATGTGTTTTTGTATGTTTTTTCTTTGGAAACTCGATTGCGAAATCCTGCCGGCACCGAAGGTTTTTGAAGGATTTCGGCATGAGCGCGCGACGACGCGCGCGTGTGCACTTCGTCCTTTTTTGTGCAAGGATTTGTGAACAAGTGTTATGTTAGAAGAAACATGTCACGCATCGTTTTTTTTTTTTTTTTTTTTTTTTTTTTTTTTTTTTTTTTTTTTTTTTTTTTTTTTTTTTTTTTTTTTATATAAAAAAAAATATACAATGGAACCTCAGAGGGGGGATACCGGTTTGGCTGGGATGCCATGATTTTATATTTAGGGTGGGCGAGTTTGCTGAATATATATATATATATATACAAATGTGTATATATGTATACACATGTATACATATACATATATATGTATGTATATATATGTAGTATATATATACATGACACTATCGTATCCCAGGGGGAAGCGTTAAGACCGGGGGGGGTTGGGGGTAGAGTCTATTTTTTTAGAAAGGAGAATTCGCATGGCCGAACTTGAAGTTGTCAACCCCATTGCTCGCGCAAACATTCCATCCACTAGCCCGCAACTTGGTTTGCAAAACCTATGCGGCGGCGATTGGGATGACTGCCTGGTGTTGGCTGGTGCATCTATGCGGCCGCGCTAGCCCGCGCACGCCTGCGCGCGCAGCGGCCAACTAGTTTGGCGCGGCCGACGCGGCCGCGCTGGCGCTTACCGCTGGGCGCATCCTGGTGGGCTCTTCATTGTGAGTCGGCGACCTGGGCGGGCGCAGTATCATGGCAACGTCGGCAACGGCAGACACGATGATGATGGTAGCGGTGTTGGTGACGGTGATGACAGCGCCGGTTGCACGGCAAGTGGCGGCGCCGATGTTGATCACGCCGACGACGATGACGGCGTCCTCGCGTCGGCGATGAAGATTTCGGAAAGAGTTCGACGTGCGCGCGCGGCCGACACGCGAGAGTGGCCCACATGGTTTTTCGACGCGGATCGTGCCCCCCCAGCGCGGGCGCAAGGGCTTTCCAATGATTTAGACATGCGGCGCGAGTTGCTCGTTTGGCTGCGTTCAATGAACAGATTAAACCGCTCATGGTTTCTTTGAGAATTCGGAAACGCGATCGCACGTTTTTCCCCAAACAGCTTGCTGAACGGGGTGATGTTGTGATAGCGGGACGGCGGAGCGGGAGCTGAGACATCCTCACACAAATTTTATGGTTTTGGCCGTTTCGCTTGAGACATCCTCACAACTCTCGTTTCTGAGTTGGCCGGCGTTGGCCGTTTCGCCGGAGACATCCTCGAAAAGTTGCGCTCCGGGACGCCGCGCGAGAGGTGGTCCGGGCCGTTTCGCTTAAGACATCCTCGAAACTCTGAGCCCGAGGTGCCGTGCGAGAGGTGGTCCGGGCCGTTTCGTCTGAGACATCCTCGAAACTCTGAGCTCTGCGATGCCTTGCGCGAGGTGGTCCGGCCCGTTTCGCCTGAGACATCCTCGAAACTCTGACTTCGGAGATGCCGCGCGAGAGGTGATCCGGCTCGTTTCGCCTGAGACATCCTCGAATTTTTGAGCTCTGAGATGCCCTGCGCGAGGTGGTCCGGCCCGTCTCGCCTGAGACATCCTTGCAACTCTGAGCTCTGAGATGCCGTGCGCAAGGTGGTCCGGCCTGTTTCGCACAAGACATTCTCGCAACTCTGAGCTCTCAGATGCTGCGCAAGAGGTGGTCCAGCCTGGGGGCCCAGAAGACCACATGTTACATATCCTCCATGGGACCCTGCGAGCCTCAGGAGGC